TTGATGGTGGACGTGTTGTCACATTTGATGCAAGTTCAGTCCTCATTTTCATGCCCGAGCTCCTTCAGTATCCTCTTCATCCAGATTGCTTGGCACGCACAATTTGCTGCTGCGACAAACTCTGCCTCAGTTGTTGACAGAGTCACAATTGGTTGTTTCTTCGAACTCCATGAAATGGCTCCTGAGCTTAACAGAAAAGCGTATCCACTCGTACTCTTACTGTCCTCCATGTCTCCGGCATAATCATTGTCAGTGAATGCCATTAGCTTGTCATCACCACCATTCTTGTAGTAAATGCCGTAGTCTACTGTACCTTTTAGATACCTAAGGACTCTTTTGGCAGCCTGCAAGTGAAGTTCAGTGGGTTTTGCCATATATCTGCTTAGTAGACTTGTAACGAACATCAGATCAGGCCGTGTAGCGGTTAGGTACATCAAACTTCCTACAAGCTGCTTGTAGTAAGTTTCATCAACCGTGACACCATGCTTATCTTTTCCTATCTTGGACCCTGGCACAATTGGACTGGTGACCATGTTGCTCTTCAACATTCCAAACCTTTTCAACACCTCCAATGCATATCTTCTTTGAAAGATAAAATTGCCTCCTGTTTTTTGTAACACTTCTATCCCAAGAAAATAATTCATGCTCCCCATATCAGTCATATCAAATTCTCTCATCATGGAAGTCTTGAATTCAAGCAACAGATTAGCATCATCACTGGTAAAAATCAAATCATCAACATATAAACTTACAATGATGATCTTGCCTTCGTTGCTCCTCTTAGTGAACAAAGTTTGCTCACTTTCACATCTCTGGAAACCTTTACTAACAAAGGATGCTTCAATGCGGCTGAACCAAGCTCAGGGAGCTTGTTTCAAACCGTACAAGGCTTTATACAATTGATAGACCATATGCTCCTTTCCCTTCTTCTCATATCCTCTGGGCTGTTCTACATAGACCTTCTCATTCAAGTCTCCATGAAGAAATGCTGATTTGACGTCTAATTGAAAAATCCTCCACTTCTTTTGAGCTGCTAGAGCAATGATGGTTCTCACCGTATCTAACCTTGCCACTGGTGCAAATACTTCTGAGTAATCAATGCCTTCTCTTTGTGAATACCCCTTGGCTACGAGACGAGCCTTATGCTTGACAACTTCACCATGCTCATCACGTTTGTTTTGTAAATCCATTTGACACAAACCTTCTTAGCTCCTGCCGGTAATTTAGTTAGAACCCAGGTTTTGTTCTTCTCGATGGAGTTGATCTCGTTATCCATGGCTTTTCTCCATTTATCTTCTCTTACAGCATCTTCAAATAAAGTAGGATCTTCACCTGCAGCATCTTGCACCATATACACTGCCTCCTCATCTTCACTCAGACCCTAACCACTCACATAATCTTCTACCCAGTATGGTGGTCTTCTTTCTCTCCCTTCAACTGTGCTACCCTCAAAGTGACCTACTTCTCTACCCTCATTGCCACTGACCTCGCTAGTGCTCCCAATAACTTCAATAGAGTTTTCTCTACCCTGTCTTTCACCATTCACCTCAACATCACCGTCACCATCATCACCTCTATTCTCTCCCTCAATTTCTTCATCACTGAACTCACCATCATCACCCCAATCCAACTCCGGTCTAATCTGCTCTTCATAGTTTTCACCCCAATCCCATTGCTTATCTTCCTCAAACACAACATCTTTACTCACAACCACTCTCTTTGTTTTAGGATCAAATAACCTATAACCTTTAGACTCTTCACTGACTCCCAATAAGATACAAGGAAAACTTTTATCATCTAATTTACCTCGTTTTGCTTCTGGGATGTGGACATGTGCAACGCAGCCCCAAACTCGAAAGTGAGCAACAGATGGTTTAACTCCACTCCATGCCTCTTGTGGTGTGACATCTTTCACAGCTAGGGTAGGGCATCGGTTCAAAACATAAAACGTCCAAACCACAGCTTCAGGCCAAAAAGGCTTCGGCATCTTCTTGGCAGATAACATGGAGCGTACCATGTTCATTACTGTTCTATTCTTTCTTTCGGCGACGCCATTTTGTTGTGGCGTATATGCAGTAGTGAGCTGCCTCTTGACCCCATGCTCTTTGCAAAAAACATTGAATTCATGTGATGTGAATTCTCCACCCCTGTCAGTCCTTAGGCACTTGATAGATACTTCTGCTTCCTTTTCCACTAATTTCTTGAATTTCTTAAAACAATTCAGCGCTTCTGACTTCTCAAGCAAAAGATACACCCATGATTTACGACTAAAGTCATCTATAAAACATAGAGTGTACCTTTTGCCACTATTGGATGCAGGGGAGATGGGCCCGCAAATGTCTGCATGAATTAGCTCCAGTACTTGACTTGCTCTCCACAAACTTCTTTTTGGAATGGCATTCCTGTGTTGCTTACCATTGAAGCAATCGGTACAAATAGCCTGTGAAGCTCTAAATTGAGGTAGACCGTGCACCATTTGTCTGAATTGTAATGTCCTCAGCCCCTTATGACTCAAGTGTCCATACCTCTGGTGCCACAGGTATGTCAAATCCGAGGAGCTTGTATGAAAACATTCTTCTGATTGAGGAAGGGATCTCATAGAGGCTGAAGCTTTATTCAGGATGATGAACATACGATTAGCACTCATCAGGGTGTACACAATTAGCCCTCTTTGTGGATGGTAAATGCTACATGCTCCATCTCGGATCAGGATTGCCAAGCCCTTTTCTTGTAGCTGCCCAATGCTCAAAAGATTGTTCCTAAGATCTGGAACATAATACACGTCTCCAACAACAAAGGCAGCACCATTGAACACTAGTCTTACACTTCCCTTCCCAGCCACACTCATCCTAGTGTTATTTCCAAGTTTGACTGAATGTGTAAAACCAACATCCAAACTCAAAAACATACCTTGATCACTACACATATGATTTGAGCACCCAGAATCTAAGAACCAAGCATTGCTTCTTTTTGCCTCATGCATCTCCACATACGACATTAGGAGCAATTCATCTTCTTCATCAAGTTGTGCATAATTGGCCTCTTTGTTCCACTTCGGACATTCATACTGAAAGTGTCCAAGATTGTGACACTTAAAGCATTCTACTGTTGCTCTATTGAAGGACTGTCGCCCTTTCCCTCGACCTCTTCCTCTGAGAGTTGCTCTCCCCCGGCCTCTAGCATCAGTTCGATCTTCAATCTTCAAAGCCTCATCTTCTTCTTCTCGATTCAGCCTGTGGAACTTCTGCTCATGAACCACAAGTGAACTTTGCAGCTCATCAATTGAGAGGGTGTCTGTGTCCTTCGACTCCTCGATAGACACCACCACATAAGTGAATCTCTCAGTCAATGTCCTCAAGATCTTCTCTACCACTTTGGAATCCGGCATGGTTTCACCATTGCTCCTCATTTTGTTTGCCACAGCCATGACCCTAGCGAAATACTCAGTGATTGTCTCACTTTTCTTCATCTCCAACACCTCAAAATCTCTTCTTAAAGCTTGAAGAAGAGACCTCTTAACTCGAGCATTCCCACCAAATTTCCTCTTCAGTGAGTCCCAGACAACCTTTGAGTTGTGTCTGTCCAGAATTTGCTCGAAAGTAACTCTGTCGATGGCCTGGTACAAGTAGTGCTTCACCTTGTGATCCTTGGTCCTTGTATCATCCAACAACGATAGCTGCACATCGGTCAACCCTGTTTCCGTTCTTGGTTCCTCGAAACCATTCTCTATGAGACTCCATAATCCCTTTGATCTGAGGAAATTTTCCATCAGCTCACCCCAATGGTCATAGTGGACGCCATCAAAATGAGGGATCTTTGTCAAACTCTTATCCTCACTCATCTCTCTCTCTAAGTTGCGACTTTTACTCTATTCTCAGGCCCAGTGGGGGCTCTGATACCAATTTGTTGGGAATGAGAACTTTGCAACACACTTAAACTTACGAAACTGGATTGAATGCAACCAACAATTATTCAACTACAGCTCTGGCTATTATATAGCCTCAGACTCTAACAAACTGAACTGAAAACATGCTCACGTATCGGCTACACGCAGCCACGTGTTTTAACAGAAAGTAAAGACAATATCAAAGCATAACCTAATCCTAAGGACTGGGTCTTTATTCAACTGACTAACAAACCTTAAAGACTTGGACAACGCTCTTCAGATTTTATGTTAGTTTGCTTTGAATAATGATATAAACTAGCAATTTTTAGATCAATTGTGAGCCTCCTTAACGTCCACACCGTCCACACAAAAAATTTATGTAGTAATAGTCGCTAAATTGTGCTCAATAGTTGTTACTGACTAAATTAAAATGAAATTGAAACCTTGGTAATGAGTTTCTGAAAAATAATCAAGTGACTAACATGAAAATTCATTCAAAGTTGGGAGACCTCCCATTGCAGAGCAAGGGCTGATTAGGTTGTTCATAATTCTCCATCGATTTTCTACTCAAATGCAGAAAGGATTTTGCTATATGTATATCAAGCTTTCCATTTTACACGCCCACTCACAATAAGCGGACCAGCAATTTTTTTATTGGACGCGGGCCCCTTATTGTGAGTGGACTTGTACACCGGTTGTACAAATAGCAAATTCCATGCATAAATCTTTCTCTGCAAATTCTTTCCTGCGCTTTACAGTGTTCAATCAATGGCTCACAAATTCAACGACGCCGAAGGTAACAGATACATAAAAAGGCTGCAGTGCAAAAAGCTTTGGATAATCTTGCTGATGGTGGTAAAATATTGTTCAGAGAGTATGCCAAGCAGAAAATAGATGCAAGAACAGCTCAATGAACAAAAGAAAGTATTGCAAGTAAATAGAAAGTTATTACAATTGAAACCATTCTTATGGTGTGATCCAATATTTTGTCTGGAAGGGCAGGGAATGTAGATGTCCGTTTGTTCATCATTTTCATTGTTGACAAATGCACATAAATAGAATTATTCAGATTAAAATCGAAATCTAACAAGAAAATGAATAATTATATGCTTTACATAAAAAAATAAAAATAAAAATAAAAAATAAATGAAAACTATGAACTTACAAGTGCAACCGAGCAGACCATTACATAGAATTTGAGAAAACTATGATCAAATAACAGAAAAATCTTGAAACAATTTGGTGGCATAACCTATAGCATTACAGCAAAGCTCAAAATATCGGTTGTAGTACAATCTGCTATGTCACCGGTCGTGTGTCCACCTGGTCCTTTGAGAAATCATACTTTTTTGAATGTTGAAATGTTCTACACCCTGTGCCCTATTTTCATCAGCAAAGTTTACCTGAGAATATTCAGTCCTTGACTCCATTGCCGGTCGAGCTTGAGATCCGAAAGGATAAAACGTGTGAGATGAATATAGAGGATTTCTGCTGCTCCCTTCTGGCATCTCATCTTTAATGTTGGATGTCATACTTCCACGTTCATTTTCATCAAAAACTATCTTCCTCTCTAATGGCTGTGCCCGCCTCTTTTCATCAAATGACGTGTCAGTTTCCTTCACGCTGTCATCTACTGAATCCAAACTAGAATCAGACCGTGATCTGCTAAATTGTGTTCCATTCTCATTCTGCATACGTAAACTTCCATCTTTATTTTCCGTGTCACAGTTCTGAAATGAATGAATTTTCTCAAATTTCAGTTGAACTTGTGTATCCTCATCAGTTTGAGGTCTAAATTTCACAGGTTCAAGCTTAGCTGATACCTTCCTGGGACGAAGGTTGGGACTACTTGGATCATCGGGATCAGTTGATTCCGACCTAGAGAGTTCGACTGCTGCTCTTGCAGCCTCTGCAGCATAAGCTGCTGACTCAAAAGCTGCTTGTGCTGCATCAGCCACATCCTTGTATTTCTTCCTCGTTTTTACTGAATCCGAGAAATTTCCAACCCCTTCAATTTCTTCAGGCTGTACTGGTGTGGACAGGCTTTTCTGCATCTGCTGATTCTCTTCTGAATCCAGAATCTCCTGAGAAGTAGCAGAAAAGTGTCATGTAATGTTCATAAAAGATTGAAAAATGAGTAAACATTTTCCTATTATAAATTGCATACCACTCTAGTGGCTGATAGAGTCTCCTCAATTTGAAAAACAATGTTATGCTCTGAAGCAATTTCCTTAACAACCTTCATTTTGTTCTCCAAGCTCGGCATTCTAGTTGACAGCTTTCGTATAATCTGCACATAAGAATGAAAACATTAGAAACTTGACATCTTATTGATCTCTCTCTTAATTGTATGATATTGTTGCCTGCCTGAGGATTAACTCCACAATTGTTTCGCAATTCAACAGCGCCAGCTGCAAATTCTTTCCCATATCGTGCTATGAAAATTGCACGAATCTCTTGAAGTTCTGGGAATTCCCCACATCTTACAGTGGTATAGATCAAGCTTGATGCAGCTTCCTTTAATTCATCTGGACATACTCTATAAGACAGAAAAAATGGAAAAACTATAACAAAAAACTTAAAACGTTAAAAAGAAACTGAAGAATTCAAACAAGGAAGAACAAAACCAACTTTTCTTGTTCAATGAGGTTGATTCTCTCTAACAACAGATGGCAATAACCCTCTATAATAGTAAACACATCCAACATATTCTGCTCCTTTATCACTTGCTCAACCTACAAACCATTATTCAAAACAATAGCAAAAATTAAAAAATGAAAAACAGCATTTTATAGCATTATCTTGAAGCCTTTTAATTAAAACAAATATTTGTTGTATCTGAGTTCAACTTGATTCTTGATGAATGTCAAAGAAAGGCTTTAAAAATTAAAAGATTACCCTTAGAAGAGCTCTATCATGGTGGCCAAGGTTAAGAAGCTCAACCACATCAGAGCGGGCAATCGAGCAGCGAGCATGGCGCTGGTTCTTGAGCACAGAAAGGCGGGATAAGGCGAGGTTCAAAGTGGCTTTGCATTTGGATGTTTTGAAGCTCTTTCCAAGTATAGCATCTAATTTCCTTCCCATGTTTCTGTTATCAACTTTCTTTCTTCAAAGGTGTAATTTGGGTATAGCACTGTGCGTAGTGTGTGCAGAAAGTTGGTAGAGGAGTACAAACGAGCCTTGCTCTCGTTTGAACCTTTGTTGATGACGAAGTTGGAAGACTTGACAAATCTTTGTGTGAGAATAATGGAGGCCAAACAGGCGTAATATTATGCGCGTTCTAATGCAGCGTTGAAATAAGCGTGTGAGGATTTTTCTTAACGAAGTTCTACCACGAGAGGCATGAGAATTTAGTGGTAACAAAAATTGCAGAAATGGTCCTTAACGTAATTGGCCTTATTGTAACTTTCTCTCCCATTTTTGGATAATACTATTTAACACCACGATATTAAAATATCAGTCTAGTGGTAGATTTGAATTTCGAAATATGATATAAGATGGGTTAGAAGCAATAAGCTATAATGATCAAAGCTTGACTACATGGAAGCACGAAAGAGAGCCTTTGCCAGTTGAGCAATAGGGCATTATTATCTTTTATATAAGAAAGATGTTTTTCTAACACTCAAAAAAAGTTGCTTAAATTTATGAGGGAACAACAATGCTATAAACTAAAAGGTTGGAGTAATACCGCTAAATCAATAAGTTAAAGGACAAAATTGAATAAGGTGAGCTAGCTAGGGATTAATAGTTCAAATTTCCTTAATTGACCAGCCAGTCTCCATCCAAGAAACTCAAACCAATGCCAGTCAAGCGGTCCAATTGAACGAGTCCTCAATAGGAAGTAGAAATAATAATTCTACATATAACTTCGTCTTTATTTATTAATTGTATTTACAGTACATTTTAATTGTATTTAAAGTACTCATTTTTTGCTCATCTTCGAACATATTATTCATAAAAAAAAAATTAATTTCAACATTACTTTAATTAGCATATCTTGTCCTTGACAATGGTTTCTGTGAAAAATATTTTATTTCCATTCTTTGAAATGAGCAAAAAAAAAAATTTAATGTACTTTTGTATTTATTACTTTTTTAAAGTATGATAACTAATTAAAGTCTTTTTACGCCCTTTCAACATCCACTTCTAGATTGAAAATTGTTATTAAAGTCATTGGTAATATTAATCAAAGATTGAGGATTAAATTACTGAATTTGATTCTTTGGGCGAAGTTTCCAAGCGCCTTCCTAGCAATGGGCCGTACATATCTAGAACATTCCAAAGTGGGTCCTTCAAGAAAAAGACTGAAAATTTACAAGAGATGTCGTAGTAATGTTAGTTTACAATGATTCTTGATCGCACAAAATCGCTCAATTTCTTTGAAGATGCCACCTTCACCGTGTGTAGGCAAGTAAATGACATGGTCAACTAAGCTAATTCACAAGAACAAGCCGCACACGTCCATCTATTTCTTCATCTCATGTTTAGGTTCGTATTACTGATATATTACAATTCATATCATGTTGGAAAGTGTGTATAAACGAATTCAACTATATGTAAATAAAAAATATGTTATGGCTAAGTATCAATCGTGAGTTCTACGAAATGTTTGAATAAGATATGGTTTTACCGATAATAAACAGTTTATAAACATTAGAAAAAAAGGGCTCAAACCCACAAACCCAGTGTTAGAATATATGTGCACTAGACATCCGCACGCATTAGCAGATTCCAGCCTTTCACGTGTGCACCAACCTCCCAGCAGATAACTTCCAACTAAGCTGTTCTGGAGATTTCAGATTCTAGAGACTTCTTCTATTACCGACTTATCTCTTTAGTTAGTTATTTTCTCTATAAATAGGGCATTGTATTCATTGAAAACCGATTGGAATGTGGAATTTCAATCCCTCCTATGGGGGTTTCACTTTCTCCTTTTATGGAATTTCTTCCTCCTTTTCATGGAGTGCTTTTCCTTCTCCTTTATGGAGTCGTTTGTCCTCCTTCATTAAGTGTATTTGTTCTCTGTTCATGGAATTTATAATTCAGTGTTTTTCATTCAATGAATTTTAATATGGTATCAGAGCAACATTCTGGCTACATAGTCCAGAATGCATATGATTCTGAACAGAAAAGGATGATAGTTCTCAATGGCAGACAAACTGGCAGATCTTCAGATTTCACCAGATCTGATGGATAAGAGATTGCACGAGAAAATGCACCAAATACAGGTTTTGAAGCAGGTGCACAAGAAATTGACAGCAAAGGTTGTCTTCTTCCGAAAAGGTCTTCCACAAATGAAATTCCTTAGTCTCCACCATGGGAGGATGATTCTGAATCCATCTCAGCAATGGAGGCGGCCGTAGAAGTACATGCAGATCAGCAAAGTTGGAAAAATAAAGGTGAACATTCTGTTGATCCTTCCACAATGACAAGCTAGAATATTAATTGGAGCTTCTAATTAGATATGCTGGTTTGAGATGCAAATTCAGTGTAGAAAACTGGAAAATCATCTTCAAAGCCACTTCATTGTCCACTTCGATCATCTATGAAATCTAATGAAGAAATGTGCAAAGCCACCACAAGCTTCTGAGTCATCGGAAGACGTTTCCATTTCAGAAGCCATTATTCTATCAAAACTTGTTTTCACTCCTTAATCTTCAAGATGGATCTCCAAGTCCATCTTGAGGGGGGGGGGGGGGGGGGGGGGGGGGAGGGGGGGGGGGGGGGGGGGGGGGGGGGTGTTAGAATATATGTGCACCAGACATCAGCACACATCAGCAGATTTCAGCCTTTCACGCGTGCACCAAGCTCCCAACAGATAACTTCCAACTAAGCTGTTCCAGAGATTCCAGATTCTAGAGACTTCTTCTATTACCGTCTTATCTCCTTAGTTATTTTCTCTATAAATAGGGCATTGCATTCATTGTGAGTATGCATTCAAGCCGGGCATTTCTAAGATAACTGTTAATCCTGGACTGGTTCATACCATCATTCTTAGCTTGTACGAGTGTTTTAACACAATGTTCAGACTTCACATTCTTTAAAGGAATGGTGCAATTGAATTTTTTGCTAATAAAAACATTGGATGACATCCTAACATAATGCTTGGGCTAAGCTTAAAAGTCAATAAAACTTACTAGTAATTTTCCAGCCAAAAATGCACCAAGGCCGAAGGATTATTGCAAGAACAAGATTTGCAATAACATGAAGAGACCAATATATGGGTATGGGTCTTTTCCAAACCCATGGATTAAAATAAACCACAGCCACGTCCTAATACAAATTTCACCGAAGTCCCAACACTTCACCCTGGAAGCTGCAATCCGTGCGATTGGATCTAGTCTGACTTTGACTTATCTTTGGGTAGTCGATTTACCCATTCAAGTATTAACCCCCATTCCAAGATGCAGAAACTGATGTAACATGGCTATCACCAGAAATTCCTGATGATCTGGGGCTTTCGCAGTCAAACTTCAGTCTTCACTCTGATTTAATCCCCAAATCATGATCCTTTTTTTTTTTTTGGTTTTATTTTATAAAGACTCACCAAGTACCTCTTTGGCATCACTAAACCCAGTAATGATGCTAGATATTTAAAGAAACTATCTCTTCATTCTTTTGAAAAAAAGGACGAATCTCTCAGAGCCTTGAGTAAGTAACAGAGGCAAGAAAATGACAAACTTTTCTTAAATCCATCCTACTTAGTATCGATTAAATGATTTTGATCAGATCAATTATACTAGATTCAACTATAATTAAAAACGAAGGTGTGCTATCATTCGTTAATTACAGTGTCAGTAATAGTATTGTGCAGCACAGGACAATTGATGAATGAAAAATGTTTAAAGATATTAAAAAATTCAAGAACACGTTCTTTGAGAACTCTTAAAATCCTCGTGTGTATACTATCTGCAGCAGGAATGTGTTTAGTATTTGAATCATAGAATCAAGATTTGACAGCTATATTTACTTGACTTCAGATACAGCAAAAAACAGCTATAGCTATAAAAATGTGAAATTTGAAGAAAGCTATCACAACAGCAAAACATACCTTCCCTATCAATCAAGCTCAGTAAACAGAGACTTAGACCCCATCTGACAGTCATTTTTATAGCAAGAATGCGTTTTTGAATAGAAATTTTTTGGAGAATATGTGATTAAAAAGTAGAGAGAAATTTTGGGTTTACGTGAAGAATATTTTATTGTGAGAATGTCTAGTTGAAAATGAATATGAGAAAATCAAGTTCTGAAAGAATGATTATTAAAAAGGGGCTTAAAATGATTTGGCCATCATAACAATAAAAATATTACGTAGACGACACTTTTAACATAACTCAATATGAAAGTTGACCATCGCTTAAATTGAATATAATTCAATCTTCAAATTACATTTACAACTAAGTTTTAACATTCAAGCTAACTCTGTACCTTAACCAAAACTCTTTCTGACATATGGTTAACAAAAGATCAAAACAGTGGCAACTTTTTCTTACTTCTAAATGAATGGAATCATCCAATGATTTAACAACAGACCAGGGAGTAAGTTGAATCAATCAACACTGTGAACTCAACTCTTATGGTCCAAGCATGCTTAAAAAAAAGTTTCCATCTTCTCACAATTCCATCAAACCAGATGGTTGAACCTCATTGGTGATCCAAACAAAATTCAGTGAATTGACATAGAGAACATTGGACTTCCACAATCCGTATGCAATCAGGTTATAACTTCTTCTATTCAACCATATATTGGGCCCATCCAGTCAAAAAGTATAATTTCAGCAAAATGCAAAAGAATGCAAGAACCCCAAGCAAATTGCATGGAAATCAAAAGGTTGACAAAACCTTCAACAACCTGGAAATACTTTGGAAAGAACTAGAGGAACACCCATAAATATTCGGAACCAGGGGCAGCGAATGTCAGCGACCCATTTTGTCATCTAGAATGACCAACATCGGACAATAAATGAAAATAAGGATTACTTACTGGAGTTGCAGATGAGCAAGAGCGAACCCTATATAAGCACAAAATGCATGTAAATAGCCAATCTTTTGAGATATTATTTAAGAATGATTTCTTCTTAGCAAATAAAAATTTTGAAACAAACTGGATCACTCACAGAAGCAATTCCTCACTTCCAAGCAGCATCTGAACACCTCCAGAGCAAACAATCCTCCAGCATAACCAAACATGGATCAGACGCAGTGCAACTTCATTAGATGCATACAACTAAGATAGAACCAACTATTATGTGTCCAAATAAAAACATCACAACGATGGTGAAACCTAAATCGCAAAAGAAAAATTGAGCATGTGCAATCATGTATTCTTTGCGCGTTCTGGACAATATACAAGGGTAAAATGACGCAAAAAGGGAAAAAATAAATAAATAAATATATATGTAGGCAGCATTCACGGCAAATAACAGTATCGGGGGTCTAAGACAAGTTTGAAAATAACAGCAAGCATTCATGGTGTCCACATAAAAGACTATAAATTATGAACCACCAGCACACAAACTCAGGACGCGTGATCATAAAAATCCACTCTGATAAAAGACCGGCCATGTGCTGTAGCTAGAAGAGGTCAAGACATGAGCTATTTACTATCAAGGGTGTCACGTATAAACACAACCAAGCAGAACCAAGGTACCTTCTTCAGAGTGCCTTTTAAGCATATAAACCACTGAATGGTTTCCTCGTAGCACAGGTAGATATCCTGAATGAAAAATAATATTAGATTCTCCAGCACCCAAAAGTCTATAGAAGAATGCATAAAGGAAAAAATAAAATAATAAATATGACAATAGGATCACAAAGATATACTGTTTATAAAAGCAAAGCCCTTGGACGAAAAGCTAAATAAAAAGGTAGGAAATAAAAAGAAAAATGCCTTACAAACTAGCTTCACAAAAATCCTAAAACTAACACTATTGTACACAGATATAAATAATTATGTATCATTATATCTTCCCTGAGGCATATGGTTGCCCCAGATACAAGGTCCAGCGTACAAATTGAACAAATATAAGAGAAATGACAATATTATTTAAAAAGCTTTCTTAATGGTCACCATTAAGAATTAGTACAAAAGGGAAAAACGCCTTTGGCAAGTTATCTTACGATAGAAACAGAAAACAATCCACTGAAAGTACTGCCAGTAGCAGGTTTCTCCCAACATCTTCTCTGAGGATTTCAACCATGCCAACCACCGTGTCCTGAACTCTTGCTCCAGCACAGAGAAGATAAAGATGGATAAATACCCAATCATTAGATAATTGAGTATAAATTGAGATCATATCAAAATGTTTATCTAATGCAACAGCATTTCTGTAGACAGAAAATCAGCATCATTTTCACTTGCCCGTGATGAATGGATGGCTCAAGGCTTGTGATACATTTAACCTCTTGTCTGGATCTAACACAAAAATTCTTTCCAGAAGATCTTTAAAATTAGCTAACATTTTTGGATCCTCCCCAGGAGATCCCGAAATTAATGTACTAAAATCTTTAGGCTTGATATTAAGGATCAGCCTTCTTATTGCCTGCAAGAACAGAGAGAACTCATAAAACAAAATGCTGAAAACTATCAACTAGTATGAAAATCAACTGGAATACGACTTATCAATAGGAAGATTGCATGCCTACCTTCTTTGTGACAGGGTCTTCCTCTGCGGCAAGAAAATTTAAATCTTGGTCGAAATGCCGGTCTGTGAAAGCTCCCTGTAACAAAAGTAGAAACTAAAAACTCACCAGAAATTTATGTGACAAAAAATTTTTAAAAAAATAAATAGAGCTATATTTGCAAGAGAGAATAGTGGAAGGAGGGAATATATTGATCTGGGCAAGTCAGACCATATTCTAACCTTTCGAAGCATCTTTTTTTGGAAGGGACCTTTCAATTCCATGTGAAGGCGAAGCATGTCATTGTTGGTAGACCCGGGAAAGAGAACCTTTCCAGCATAAAGCTCGAACAGACAGCAACCAACTGACCAAATATCCATGGGATGGTCATAAGGAAGACCTAGAACTACAGAAGGAAAGTAAATACTTGATGAAATCCAGCAAAATACAATATTCCATCAACATTAGATAAGACTCGTATAATATCACTAGTTTAGAAGAGGAAAGTAATGACAGCCTTAAATGGAGTAAAACTCTTACTTATCTCAGGGGCACGATAAAAACGGCTCACAAGGTATGGAGTAATTTCATTTTTACCAGCAAACATGGCATTACCGAAGTCACAAAGCTTCAATACATTTTTTGACTCATTCACCTGCAGAGAGAGGAAACACATCAAAGTTAAAAATTGATGGAGGAAATAAATCAAATCCAGAAGAGGAAGAGGGGATACGTTGACTGCATACCAGCATGTTATCTGGTTTAATATCACAATGAAGAATGCCACAATTTTTTAAATGTTTCAGCGCAATGAAGAGTTGCTTTGCATATGCCCTCACAGCAGTAAGCTTCAAACCAATATTACGACCAAATTTCTTGAGAACTTCCCTTAAATTCATATGAAGAGATTCAAAAACTAAACATAAATGATTCCGATACTTGAAGTGAGAAAGAAAACGGACACAATGCCGCTTGTCTTCAGGGTCAGCACCAACTAACTTTTTTAGAATGACCAACTCTTCCATACCTGCCTTATACCTTCATGACAAAAGAAAAAGATCAACATAAGGTACATAGGATCTTGGATACTCACAAGCAAAAGCCCAGATCACACAAAACCAGGGAAACCTATAATTACCCACATTGTTTCATTACTACGTATGATTTTTATTGCTACTTCTTCAGGGTCACCTGGTTTAGCCTTAAGATCCTTTGCACGAACTACAGTTGAGAAGACGCCTTTCCCATGGGCCGCAATAATTTCATATCGGCCATCAAGTGTTTCTCCAAAACGGTAGCCTGCAAGTGAAGAAGGAGACAATAAGGGAACTAAGTAAAGCATACAAACAAGGTCAAAATTTTAAAATAGATAAACGAAACCAACATTAATCTGGCAGATGAACATGTTTCCAGTACAACAGTACATTTTTTGGTTATAAAACATCATCTCTTCAATGGTACGTTCGTAAATCAAATAGTGCAGGAATATGCATTACAAACCTTAAAAAGACCAAGATATACAAACTTGCATGTGCGACTTGTAAAAAAGGAAAGGATATAGGTGACTTCGTGTCTAGTCCAACAGAAGCTACCATCATCCAAAAGGAAGAAAGGCAATGCAAGAGTTAATTGTGAGATTTGTGTCAGATACTTACCATAGTACCCTTCCGAATCATCCCAGTTGTCATGAAGTCCACTCTTTTCAACAGCTAAACCTTCGCCTTTACCCTGCAGAAAAAAAATAACCAGCAGAAAAAAGCTTTAAGCAGACAATTATCACATAATCAACAAGGTTAATTGTTTAACGGGCATGAAATAAGAGATATACTGTATCATTTCATGAAACAAACTGTAATTATTTCCATAGTTTTAGCACTTTGATTAGTCCAGGATTTCAAGAATGGGGAGATAGTATGTGCACCTAGACAAAAATACAATGTATGAACCAAAACTGAACTCCAAAACACATTTATTTCCCAACTATAAACCGAAGAAATAATACAAAATCATAACATGAATATATGAAGACAAGGATGAGAACAAACTACACAGGAATGCAGGGACGTTTAGAAATCAATATCTTAGTAAAAAATGTGAAATGTAGCCCTTGTTTGATCCCCATTTTCGAGGAAATAATGCATTTTGAATAGTAGATTGATGGAGAATGTGTGATTAAAAATTAAAGAAAAGTTTTGGATTTGCGTGTAATATTATTTTATTGAAGAATGTGTGATTGAAAATGAGTATTGAAAAAATGAATTTTTAGAAGAATGAGAATCAAACAAGGGCGTAGATAGCAATGATAATAAACATGTGAAATCTTAACAGTTACATGCAAAATGTGTACACATGAGACTCACCGTTTTGCGGACGCCAGCAGGGGATTCTCCAAATATATCATCACAAAACATATCATCAGATCTCTCACTCTGCATTGTTTGATGGAAAAATTCAGACGTCGTTCGCAAAGAAAACAAGCAAATAGATAATGCAGAATTATGCAAAACCAGTTATGGATACCAATACATTAAGGAAAAAACCCCAAACAGGCATCGCAGTTCAGAGAAAAACAAAAATCAAACAGAGATTACCTCTCTAACAAAGAAAGAGAATATAAATTCTAAAACAGAAACTGTAGAAGGTAAATATAAGTTACAAACCTTTGGAGTACCCTCCCCTAGTCCACCAGTTCCAGTGGGCCTCTCCAAAGCAGAAAGGCCATTTTGTGAAGGGGATTTCCCAACAGAAAATGATGGGTCGGCAACGTAAACATCAGCACCTTCTGCCTGACCATCAACATTTTCGACCATATCAGTAGCTGCCACTTGATCAGAAGATTGGCCAACTTGTTCCTTAACTGATCCATAAAAAGTAAGCATCAGCTAAAGCATGACAAAAAAAGACAGAAGTATGCAGACAAAAATCCTACCCATCAGAGAATGACGAAGTTAGCATGAATGAGCAATAACTTTCTCAAACACAGAGGTAGCATTCCACAACAATAAACAAAAGTAAAGCACAATCACAATCCATTACAAGCCAAACAAATAGTCGGCATTGAAAATCCACAACTTATCCTGAGTCACGATGCAAGAAATGGCAGGTATTGAGATACAATTAAAAACTGTATAGATAACATAAAAAGATTACCCATATCTTGTGATTGAGTTCCAATTTGCTGTTGTGACTGTTTATTTTTGTACTTTTCAAGAATAGCTTGCTTACGCCTTCTACTTTCCTCCCTTATTCTCTCAAGATCTTCTTCCTGTTCTTCCAGTTGCATTGCAATCCTTTCTTGATAGTCATCTTGTTCATCTTCTTCTCTGAAACCAAAAAGAAAAAAGAAAGGAAATGAACCAACAGGTAAAAGAATACTCAATGTTGACTATTTATCTTAGAAAAAGATATACCTTTTAATATTCTCAGCAATCCTTTCAGCAAGATTACTTTTAGAGCTGACATTTTTGGAGTCCATTTTCCTTGATCTTTCTCTGTGATCATTTTCAGAATTTATTCTATGCCTAGAATCATTATAACTACCTCCGTCTCCGTAACCATCCTCAATAGAATTGTATTTATGGCGCCTGCTATCAGTCTCATTCTCCCTGTCTCTGACTCTCTCTCTGTCTCTTCCTCTAACTTCCCTGCTCTCTCTAACCCCATCTCTAGCTCTGTCCCTGTCCCTGTCCCTGTCCCTGTCCCTGTCCCTGTCCCTGTCCTCTCCTAATCTGTCCCTCTCTCTTCCCTTGTCCCTCTCCCTCTCCCTTCCCCTTCCCGTTTCCCTCTCCTTTTCCTTGCCCCTCTCTCTTCCCTTGTCCCTCTCCCTATCTCTATCTCGATGTCTGGCCATTTCTCTTTCTCTTTCTCTTTCCCTTTCCCTTTCCCTTCTTCTTTCCCTCTCCCCATCTTTCTCTCTGGTTCTATCCCTGCTGCCCTCCCTATATTTATCATATGTTTCCCTGCTGGGATGCCTTTCCATTCGATCGGAGTAAATGCTACAACTACGCTCCCTTTCTGTATCCCTTACAACATCTCTACTACTCTGTATGTAGTCTCTGTTGTGTGCAATAATCCTTTTATTATATGAACCGCTCCCGTGTCCTCTCTCTGAAGAAGATGAGTCTTCCTGCTTATGCATTGTACTGACAACAGAAGCCTCTTGAAAAATGCTTCTAGACCGAGACCTTCTGCTAGACCAATCAGGTGACTTGGATACATTCCTACTAGAATTCTCTTTCCCGTATTTGTCACAAGAGGGGAGGTGTGAAACAACTCTGTGCCTCTTATCAGATGATAGAGATTTACCTTGAAAACCACCCTGAGTTTCATAATCATAGTCGCTTATCCTCTTGTCACTGCCTTCAACAGGAGAGGCATCTATGTTGTGATTCCTAGTGCGATCACTGTGATATTTATGTACATGATTCCCATTGGAAAGAACCTCAGCATAGTTTGTTCTCTCCCAATCCATATCATCACCTCTTTTGGCATCTCCAAATTTCCTTAAATTCTTACTGACTATGTAGATATTCTCTTCTCTAATTTCCTGCAAACAAATGTTATAAAGGTATAGTTCAAGCCTAATAATCCCCAAGACCAACCTGACATATTAAAATATGAGCAAATATTATAAACATTTAACCAACTCTTACAAATCAATTCAAAGCCATCAATTCAGTCCTCTGGAAACGCCTAAGGTAACTTTGCCTGGGAATAAAATGCAGCAGAGTGCAAATCTCCATACAGAATACAAATTTTTGTGTCTTTTGTAGTGCAACTATAATACTTGTAAGAAAGTCCATGACCTTAGAGTCAGTTAAAATGTCAATAAAAACTCATCAAAGAAAAAAAATTCAAGCAATTCACAACACCACATGGTGCCTTGCTTGGTCACTGAGGTTCCAAAATCACGATTAAAAAAAAAAAAGGGAACTTCAGATAACAGTTTATTTGAGTAAAAATGGTAACTTTAGCATATTCTTCCGAAAAGAAAAGACTAGAAATTATTCTTCAGGCACTTCAACAAAATAATCATCTTCATTCAAATCATTGTGATTTGCTTGTCTAACAACATCGAGCATTTCTCAATTATAACACAAGAAACTTGTAATAATTTCCTCCAGGAGTTAGTTCCCTAAAAAAAATTGATTTAGATTCATATCCTCGGTCGAAGACGAATGATTTTTCACATGTCAATTTTTTATATTGATTCAGTATTAAATCTAAAATACAAACATACTAGTTCAATTCGCATGTCCAACCTAAAATTTCATCAGATTCTCTCTAATTTAGCAAAGCTTGAAAAACTTCCATTTGACAACATTTAGAACAACTCTTTCTATGCTTTTGTGATTTATCTGAGTCCCTTTCTGTTGTGTATGTGTGCATCTGCTGGGCATCTTATCAGCAAAATTGTGCATGAGTATGTCTAAACAAAAACAGAAGACAAAAATCTTCTCAATAAACTTCTGGGTAAAGAAAATGCCACTACAAACAATCTAAAACCCCCATGATTCAAAAACAAATTCTAAGACAAAAATTTAATTGTAAGAGGAGAACATGGAAAAGAGAGATGAAAATATGAACACACCATGTTAGTATTGTCGTGTCTGTCAGACTCAATTTCCCCCGACTCCACATCAGAATCCAACTTCTTTTGCTTCCCAAAATTTCCATCACCATTGTCATTTAAACCCTCGTCCTCCACAATCTCTCCTTCCTCCATATCATAATCCACATCCACAAATCCCGCCCCAGTCGACACCAAAACCTCACCCAACGCACCCTCATCTCCATTTTTCATTACAACACCTTCCAATTTTCTTTCTTCAACGTGAATTTCATCAATTCCTCCTTCTTCCCATTCCTCGTCTGCTTTCTTGGATATTTCCTCTGTCTCTTTCTTGCTACGGTGGCGGTGGCGATGGTGGCGATGGTGGCGATGGTGCTTTCGACGTTTGGAAGGCTCCTCCGAGTCTTCGGGAGAAACTGAGCGACGGTGATTGCGACTCGTGGGCTCACCTGAGTCGCTGGCCATTGGTATTGAAAACGCAATAGGATTCAATTGTATTGCAAATACAGAAATGCAAAATTAGGGTTAGGGTTCAGGAGACAAATTTATTTTGGGATTTTAGGATCGGGAACTTCAGTTAGATCCGGCTGCTGAGTTAATTGTTTCAATGGTCATTGAACTTTAGGTCCATGTCTCTAATTGATCATTGAAGTTTATAATAACGAGTGTTGGTCATTGAATTTAGGTTAGGCCCATATCTTAAATTATTCACTAAAATTTTAAAATGTCGAATTTTAATTACTAAATTTTGAAATATATCATTCGTTACTCACTAGCATAATTGTTAAACTCTAAAAAATATCAAGTTCACAATGAATAATGTACAGTATTTTTCAAAATTCAGTGAGTAATTTACAGTATTTTTCAAAGTTCAGTGGTCAAAACTCAATATTTTACATTTTAATAAGCAATTAAAGACATTGACCTAAATTCAATGATCAAAACTCAATATTTTAAGCTACAGTAACCAATCAAAAATATAGACTTAAGTTCGATGATTATTGGAACAATTAACTCCCGCCTGCCAATGAATTATTACGCAAAAGAATGTTAATAATTGTCGTAATTGTCGGGTTGGGTTATAGTAGAAATATGAATTTTACAATAGGGCCCACTATTTCACTAAATTGCACTCATAGCCCACAAATATGGGGAAATAGGCAATTGCCAGTGGAATTCAATTTTCATGACAGTACAAATACATTGGGTTATAAATATAACCTGAAGTTATAAAATATTGAATAATACTATTTATCGCCGCCAATGTTAAGCACCTGACAATATATGAGTTTAAATTATAGATTTATTTAAATACGAAGTAATATAACTCATTTAATTGAATATATAAAGCATAATAACTTACACTGTAGCTAAATAATATTGTTTTAAAATATCAATTATGAATGCATAACTATGTATGTTTCTCTCTATAGGAAATATGTGTTTTGTCTCTATTTAATCTTTTTATGTACAAACATGGTGAAAGGTTGGCCAACGAAATAGTTGAGGTGTCTTATCTTTGTGCCTTTTGATAATTTGTCTTAAAATCAACGTGAAACATTGACAGCTAAAGGATGATGTTCACGGGAAAACACTTAACTTTTCCATACCAATGCCAAATGCAATTAGAGGTAACTTAAGGATTCTTATTTTTTTTATTTTTTTATAAATTAATATTGTAGAACCTTCTCTCTTTTGTTATTTTCAGATAAAACAAGTTGAATGGAGGAAGCACCTCTCTCTATTTGCCCCTTTAGAGAGAACAAATGTGCTTGTAAAGTTTGAACTTTATCGTGTAAGTTATACGAGCAGATTCTGTGAAAGATTTTAGTCTACAATTAATTAATTATTTCCTTCTTAATTATTGTACATTTTATGTCGAATTTTAACTCGTTAGATCAACCTTACTTTTGACTTCACGATGATGTCCTAGGTCGAATATTTGGCTAAATTGACTCACTCTCGTGGTCTTTAAGAGAAACAAGAGAACGACTTTCGAGAAAACCCTTGTTAGCCAGCTTTTTTCCAAATGTTTTCATCAAATTTTTTATTTTTTTATGCAAAATATTATCTCTAGTGTCCCACTCTAAAGGAATTGTTTTTTTAATAATCTACTTTCTGTCCTTTTTTAATAAACTTAGCTTTTTTCTAGTTCAAATCTATCATCCCAATTTGGTTGTCCCCTTGATTTCTTCACATTCGCCCATCAAACCATAATATTACACAACCATTGTAAAAGGAAATCCCTGTATAATTACTTTTGAGCTTAGCCTTTTTTGAGTTCAAATCTATCATCCCAGTTTGGTTGTCCCCTGATTTTTTCACTATTAAAATTTTAACACCTTACCATGAAAAAACAAGGAAGAGTTTGTGTACTATTATGACTTACTAGTAAATTGTAGTTAGACATCAAAGTTTTGAGAATAAGACAGTCAAAGAGACAGCTAAGTCAAGACAACAAATCTAAACTCATTTTTTTCTTAATGAAAACTTTGCTTGATGTTAACTCACTTTCTTTGCGCATGCGATGAACTCTCAATATCTTCGAAATATAATATCGACATGGCTAGTTTTTATTTTTTCCATTTCTTTTTCAATTTAATCAAAATATTACATCGGAACTCATCTTTCGAGCATGTTTGATATATGTTTATAAACGGTTTATAAAGTAAAAAAAAAAAAAAAAAGAATCAAATGAATGGTGAATAGATGAATGATACTTTTGAATCCTTCAAAATGTGTTATGTATACAAAAACTTGAATATTAAACATCAACCCAATATAGATAAGGAAAAGTCACGGGTCCCAACCCATGTGAGGGGTGTAGACCAAGCACAGCCCGATGGATAAATAGAATGGAAAAATTCATAAGTAAAAGTTTAAATATCACACATTTCAAAATCAAGAAAACAAGTTTCAAACTTCAAAAATTAGATTTTTATTAAAATTTATTTATGATATAAATTATTTATTTATTAATTAAATATATTAAGGTCACCCGATGGATAAATAGAATGGAAAAATTCATAAGTAAAAGTTTAAATATCACACATTTCAAAATCAAAAAAACAAGTTTCAAACTTCAAAAATTAGATTTTTATTAAAATTTATTTATGATATAAATTATTTATTTATTAATTAAATATATTAAGGTCACAGATCTATGTTAACGATTTAGTTAATTACATATTATTTTTCGCTCAGAAATCAAAATTTTATATATCACAAATTAATTTACAGTCACAACGCAAAATTTTATTGGTTACAAATCAAAATTTTTTAAGTCACGATTTTATTAATCGATCACAAATATAATGAGTCACGACTTATTTATACAGTCACAAATTAACAATTTTTTAGGTCACGCATTATTATTTTTCATCACAATTTATCGTTTTCATTGGTCATAAATTAACCAATTTAATGGTCACAGTTAACCAAATCATTTGTGACCACCACCTCACCACTATTACCAGCCGCCGCCGCCAAAACCACCACCACTCTACCCAACCCCATACCACTAGGACTACAACCATTACAGACCACCACCACAGTCGCTACAACCATTGTAGTCAACAAACTCTCCGATACCATAGCTACCACTAGATCCAAAATACCCTCCACCAACAAAGCTACCGTCACCCAAATACCACAACCATGAACACCACCACTACTCGCAACCACCGCACCAAACCATCACCATCATCATTACCACCACCACCGAAACTCAACTTAAACCACTATGACCTCCCAAAACCACCATCTCTAACACCACCACCACCTCACACCCATCGCACACCAACCCCAAACCACACATAAATAACCAAATGTAACGGGGTCGACCATACAAAAGGATGAATGGGTAGAGAAAGCCCTTGGAATTTTGGGTAATCAAAGTCCTCCCCGTACATGTTGAGTTCAAGAAATGTGTAAACGTTGTTGTCCAACCAAACCGATAGCATTCGCCTAAGTCCCCTTTTTCTTCTACATGTTGCCACGAAAGCCGCCAAAGGAGAAAGAAGGAAGATGTGAGTTCTGAGATTTGTGAGAGGCAATCAGAAAGCTCCATTGCGTGCGGGGCTCAAAATAGCGCTACAACAATATAGCTTTTGCAGTGGTGTGATAAGAGAGAGATGGCGGAGCGACATGCCGTGCTTCTCTGCTATGGTACGAGGCAGAGAGAGAGGAAATCGATGGTGGTGCAGTTGCATTGTCTATGCCGCACC